ATCTTAAATATGTCAATCCTTTTTTTCGTTTATATAAACCAAATTACTATATATCTTTCATGTGGCTTAGGGTTAGCTTAAGCTTCCACCTCAAATTACATTACTTGTATTATGTTCAACTTGTATTATTTAGTTTATGATGTTTAATTTGTATCCACCATAGTCAAATTAAAGATTTCTTTAAGTAAAAAAAAAAAAGGAAAAAAACTACCTACCAAGTTTATTACACATATATTCAACGAAATTAGGTACATAGACCTTTTTCTAACAAACATGTTTCAAACTACTCACTCCACATATAATTCTATGAGTGACTGTATGACTTGATCAAAGTCAATCAACTTTTATTTATTTTTCTACCTTTTACTTATTTGTTATCGTCTTCCATTAATTTACTTTACATAAGCGATAAAGTTTAGTTCTCAATTTGAAACTGATGTATGTAAAGATTAAACACATTCTTATGCAATTTTAATTATAAATAAAATGCAATAACAAAGGATTAACTACATAACCCATCGTGGTTTTTTTTTTTTTTTAAATGATTAGGGTATTTAGACCAGTTTATGCATATTTCAACTAATTTTTAGGATTTTAAAATTAACGATCGAATAAATCTTTAATGATCACTCCTATTAACAACCAAGATGAACCGAATAGAAGACTTCTTAGACAATCTCCTAAAAATCTTTATTCAATCACTCCGCTACTCAAGTGCGGTTAACCCGTCGAGGTTAGTCCACACTTTTTACCATTCCTCTCCAGTTTCATAAAAAACAAAATTAACGTACAATAAAATCACCTAATTTTTACAATGGACCCCTTTAATTTTTCACTACCACTTCCAAGAATACAGTGGCAGAGTCTGTGCCCCACGAAATTTTTAACTTTATCAAGAAAATTATCCATTTAGTCCCTGTAAATTTAGTTTTTACTTTAGGATACCCTTAGTTTTAGAAATTAATCTTGAACTCCCCATAGGCATAAATTTAACTTCCTAATCATTTATGGCCTCCCATCCATTGAAGGAGGAAAGAGCCCTTGCAAGAGTAGTTTCTGTTAGCTTTGAAAATTGCACGAGTTTTATTATGTTTTCGATCAAATTAAGGGAGTTATTAGTCTAGAGACATATTTTAATTCTTTTCAAATAAATCATAAAATTATTCTAATTAAAAAAATCTTCTACTCAAATACTCTTTTCTAAATTTTTACAATGTTTTAACTGGAAAAAAAAATATAAAGAATTGTATACAGATAATGTTGTGATGATTTTCCGACGACCAGATATGTGCCATCTATCTATAAGTCATACCGAGATCTAGCGGTCATAATCATTCCACGTATTGCTCCCACAGCAGATGACTTAACCAATAAACTCTTTAGTCCTAAGCATGGGTGTTCTAACTTAAGCATAGGTGAAAGCTGACTCAGATCCAAATTATAGGGGATTATGCGTGTAATCTACCCTGTAATACCAACCTTCAACCACTGTCAGACATTGTGTATAAAATGGAGGCCTCACGCCCTCACCTTTATTTTGGGGGATTGATATGTGATTATTCATACAATCACAGAAATCACTAACAAAGTGTTTCAACTCGCTATTACGTGTTGCCTTATTGTAATTACTTTGTGTATGCAACAAACATAAGCAATAATATATCAGTAGACGTAGGCTTGGTCTTAACTTATTAAACCAATTTAAAAAGTCTCATGTATTCTTGCATTATGGATTCATCAACATGTCCCTAGCTGATTATTTATAATTATGCATACATTCTACCCAGTCTCGTCATGGTCGATTGTATATCTCTGGCTGTTGCGAATTTTCGTAAGAACATATAATAAACCAAAGAAAAAAAAAAAAGCAGCCTTTTTGGAAAAACATTCCAAATGAATTTGAATGGTTAACTGAACTCGCCAACTCGGTACACAATACATTGAACTATTTTGCTTTAATCCTACGCAAACAGGATAATTTTAATTTAAAAAGAAAAGAAAAGAAAAGAAAAGAGTTGAAAACTTGAAATAAAATGTGATTGCAGTCATTGATAGGAAGAGGAGCACTTAGAGTGGTGTGTAAGGAGATAATTTGAAGGGAAAGAAAGGAAGTGGGCAGAGAAGTGTGGAAAGAGAATTAAATTAAAATAAGGAAAGTTGAGATAAGTTTGATGGGGGGTGGGGTGGGCCGTGGAGGCTATGAAGATGTGGACCACTGCAATTTCGTATCCAATCATCCAACCAATGACTGCGATTAAGACGTCTAATTCTGTCTACCAATTTTGTTACAATATAGAATACTTGTTCAAAAAGTCATTTTATAACCATTATGAAACCTTTGATTCACTCCCCATCTTTCATGTACATTTTCCACATCGGATTGCACCTTCTACATATCCCGTATCACATCACTGCGTCCCCATTTAATTATGTTACTAATTCTTGTATCTTCTTTTTTTGTTATAAATTCTTCTCCTCTATTGCATATTTTAGTGTAAAAATAGTTAAATCTTAGCTTAAACTTAATTCCAATAAAAGAATTATACGTCAAAATGCTCTAAAGAGAAATTAAATACAAACTACTTCCAGGTCATCTAGTAGTTTGATAGAGACTCTTGGGTTTATTACTCAAGAGGTCTTGAGTTTAAACTAGTTGGAGTGTATTAACTCCAAAGGGTTAGCGTAATGGTCAAGAATGTTTGCTTGTTTATTGACTTCGTGAGTTCAAATCACCTTGAGGCTACTTATCATATTTGTGGCTTACCTAGAACATGCCAATTGTAGAGTATTCAATGAGCCTCAAAGATTAGTTGAGGTGCATATAAACTGGTTTGGATACTTTAGGTTTTTTTTTTTTTTAAGAAAAAAAGTTATGAATTCAAGTCATTTTTCGATTACTAATAAGGATAGTCACTGAAACTCTTACTCGATTAATAGTTTTAAGGTCATGAAGGATTAGTCATAAAAAAAAAAAAATTAAATACGATAAAAAGATGGAAACTAATGGATTGAATTGGTCCCCAAGTGAAGTGAATAAACAAAAGAAGAGAGGTTTGAACTGGAAAATGTGGTCACTAGTAAGAAGAATTGAGTGAGTGTCGTTTAGTTTCATCTTAATGTTTTACAGTGGAGACACCACGGAGGCGTGCAAAGGTGTAGTTGCTTTCTTTGTTAAGCTAATGTTGTTTGTTTACGTTGGCTCCCCCCGTCAAAATATCAGCCACCGTTGCTTTTCCTCGATGGTTGCATTTTGGGTGGTCTAAGATTGCTCCTTCTCGGACCCCACTGTACCGCTTTTACTCCATTACTCCCTTGGAATATCTGGACCCACTCTGGACCCATTAACCGCCCAAAAAGAACGGCCCTAATTCACAAACTCATCCACTTTATCATTAAAGACCAAAGAAAACCTCTCTATTTAAAACATTTTCACCTTTCTATTATCCTTTTTATCCTAACTTTACTCATAAATCATAATCGCCCTCTTTTTCTCTTCCAAATGCCAACGTTTATATGAAATTAAACTAATGACAATTGCTAGTTGTCCTATACAAGTACACTTGTTTAGCTATAAAACGACAAGAGTTTGATTTTTTAGATTTTCTACGTTAAAATAGAAAGAATATTGGGTGATCATGAAAAGTTTTAGATAATTCATTTCCTTTACAAATAATGTAAATGCTGTAATTTGCACCAACAAAAAATATGTGGTAAAATCTATGTACGAGTTTGTATAAAACTCGTAATTTCGATGCTAGATCGATGTATGAATAAGGAATCAAATAATAGCACAAAAAAAATATTTTTAAAGTGGTTTAGATACTCAATTACAAATCTTACTACCACTATTCTTGTATTATATTTTATGTTTTTGCTGTGCACAAAAACGAGTTACAAAATATGAATGAAAGTCATATCCCTAATTTTAGCAAAACGTATGCTTGTATACAATTATAACGATAAACTTATAAATAAAGTTAACCTGAAAGAATGACACGTGACATGAATCTACACTTCGGAGATTTATCGCACAACACACATACTATCCAACTCAATAAATTTAATTTATTATTTATCATTGATTTAAATGCATCATATTAAGAATTCTTGTAACAATTAATTTTTAGTTATATATGAGATGTTTTTAAACATAAATGATAAGCTAATAATAAATATGAATCATTTTATTATGATATATACTAATAATTTTGATAGAAGGGAGAATTAAAAACATAGATTTTTTAAAGATTAATGTGTTTTCAAATTTAATTATATATTTTGTGTCTTTATTAAAATAATAAGTGAATAAATTGAAATAAAAAAATAAGAATGGAAAATATGAAAAATGAAAAATGAAAAAACAATACCGTAAAAATGACCTCAACATTATTTATATGCAAATGCAATTCAGCAAAGCTTTTGGGAGTTAAACGACAGTTCACTAAATTTATTTACACGTGTTGACATTTTGAAGCGAGTGTTGTTTAATCTTACTACGAAGTACGACGAGTCATTTTCAGTAACAGACGAAAAGCATAGTGTTACTGTGATGATGCAAGCGAGATCTTTAAACGGACGGCGAGGATTCTGTTTCAGTTATCAAGAAGATCATAGAGGATTACGTCATTTAGACGGCGATATCAACGCGCCGTATATCGGCGTGTTGTGGCGAGTAGGACCTACAATTTCCAGACCCCGTACAGAGCGGGAGAAGAATAGATAGACACGTGTAAACTAATGAGGTTATGTTTTCATATTAAGAATTATGGTCCCACCTTCATATAAGGCCACGTCATACGTGCCGCACTAGTACTGCGACTGGAGAGAAATAAAGACTAAAGAGAAGCAGGTTCTATATGAGGTTACTGTAGATACTATGGCATTTAGCAAAGGGTTTCCATCATTTCACTTTTAATTATTTTATATGAAAAATTTTGTTTATTTGATCTAAATAGAGAAAGGTGGACCCACAGTAAAACGTTTGTTTCCATCTTATGGGTTGAGCTTTCGTTCTTTAAAGCTATCTTCTATAGTTGTTCTATATCTCTCTACTCTCTCAAGCTGAAGCAAATCCAACTTGTGAACTTGTCATCCCGTTATTTCTGGGCCTTTACTTCTGTATGTACTCTCTTTGTCTCTGTCTCTCTGTCTCTAACGCTCAGTTGTTTAACTATAAAAATCTAGTATGTTACAGCACTTTCATCACACTCTATTTGTCTTGCTAATGCTTTTGTGATAATGTGTGAGTGCAGATTTATTTTTATCTTTTTCCGGTGAGATTTGGCCGGACAATGGCATATATGTGTGCAGATAGTGGCAATCTAATGGCTGTTGCCCAACAAGTGATCAAGCAGAAGCAACAGCAAGAACAACAACAGCAACAACAACATAACCAGCAGCAACAGCAACTTTTAGGTCTCAATCCTTTCTCTTTAAACCCTTGGACCACTAACCCTATGTCCAGCTCTACAAATTTGGGTTATGGTCTCGCCGGCCCGGCCTTCCCTGACCCTTTGGATACTGGAGAAACCGCGTTCCCGTTTCCTCAAATCGATCACCATTCCAGTGGGTTTAGATTCTCTGATTTTGGCGGTGGGCCTGGTGCTGAGTTTGACTCCGATGAATGGATGGAGACTTTAATGGACGGTGGACACTCAACGGATAGTTCTAATCTTCCATCTGCCTGTGACGCGTGGCAAAACAATGCTGATTTTGGTCTTTATCCAACCGATCCCTTTGCCAGCTGCCCGAGTCGACTCAGCGTTGCTTGTTCTTCGCCGTCCGATCTCAACCAAGTTATCTTCACGGAACCTCAAAAGAACGTTATCCCTGCTGTATGGGCACCAACACCGCCAACCATTACACTAACTCCACCACCTTCATCTCCCCCACATTCCGTGTCGGCGGCCAAAGAAACCAAGCCACCAAGTCCTCCTGTACAGTCAAGTGTACTCAAAAACCAAGCAGAAGGTGCGTCGGCCTCCACTAGCTCACCGGAAAATGACATAGCACAACCAATTATAAGGGCTTTATTGGACTGCGCTCGACTGTCGGAGTCTGAACCGGACCGAGCTATTAAACTGCTGATTAAGCTCAGAGAGTCAGTATCTGAACGCGGAGATCCAATAGAAAGAATGGCGTTTTACTTCACTGAAGCTCTCTACAACAAAGTGTCTCTCCAAGCACAGAAAACAGTATCCACCCTGGAGACAAACTGTGGGGATTTTATTCTCTCTTACAAGGCCTTAAACGATGCCTGTCCCTATTCAAAGTTTGCACATTTAACGGCTAATCAAGCAATACTTGAAGCTACTGCTAAAGCAAACAAGATTCACATAGTTGATTTTGGAATTGTTCACGGAGTTCAATGGGCATCTCTGTTGCAAGCTCTCGCGTCTCGCCCAAAAGCAAACGCTCTCAAAATTCGGATCTCGGGTATACCTGCTCCGGCTCTTGGTAAGTCACCTGCTGCCTCTCTCATTGCTACGGGTAATCGTCTCCGTGAGTTTGCTAAAGTTCTGAAATTAAAATTCGAGTTCGAGCCGATTCTAACACCAATTGAACAACTCAATGCTTCATGCTTCAAAATTGAGCCGGATGAGGTGTTGGCTGTGAACTTCATGCTTCAGTTGTACAATCTATTAGATGATAACCCAGTTGCTGTAGAGACAGCTCTGAGAATGGCCAAATCGTTAAATCCCAAAGTGGTGACTCTGAGTGAGTATGAATCAAGTTTGAACCGAGTAGGGTTTGTAACTCGTGTGAAGAACGCTTTGAAGTATTACTCAGCTGTGTTTGAGTCTCTAGAGCCAAACATGACCCGAGATTCGGTAGAGAGACTACAACTAGAGAGACTAATACTTGGTCGGAAAATTGCCGGTTTGATTGGAGCTGAAGGAGTGGGAAGCAGAAGAGAACGAGTGGAGAATAAGGAACAATGGAGGGTTCTGATGGAGAGTGCCGGTTTCGAGCCGGTTCCCTTCAGCCATTATGCAATTAGTCAGGCCGAGATACTGTTATGGCATTATAATTACAGTAATTTGTACTCATTAATTCAGTCTCAACCTAAGTTTCTATCTCTGGCATGGAACAAGGTGCCTCTTCTCACTGTTTCATCGTGGCGTTGATTGATGGTCGGTGGGTTTTTCTGACTCAATGTCGTTGTAGTTTTCACCAGATATGGTGTTATATTGATCTGAAATGGGTTCCCAGTTTCATTATTTAGTGATGTAACAGGTTGTTAATATTAATGGCAACCAAGGAATTTCAAAATCACTGCATTAGAATTATTAACCTTGTTGTCTACTTTATGGACTTGTTTTAGTTTTATTGAGTTTCTAGCTGTATTTTGTTGGGCTTAGAGGCGCCTAAAAGTATGACAAATTGTAAAAAGGTGAATTCAAAATCTACGTGGTTTGTGCTTTAAGCTGTTAAATTTCTGTTCATGTTTGCTTTACTGTTTCTCTAATTTGGATGTTGATATGACCCTAGTTTAATTTTTAATGCTCATATATAGGGTGCTTTTGAATGTGAATTGATATAAGAACTGTTCTTGATGACAGCAGATTTTTTTGAACTTTGTGTCTCTTCAGCAGCTCAAAGTTATGTTCTGGCAGGCCAGTGCTTCTTTGTTTCTTTTGCTACACCAGATCATTTGTTTATTTGATCTAAATAGAGAAAGGTGGACCCACAGTAAAACGTTTGTTTCCGTCTTATGGGTTGAGCTTTCGTTCTTTAAAGCTATCTTCTATAGTTGTTCTATATCTCTCTACTCTCTCAAGCTGAAGCAAATCCAACTTGTGAACTTGTCATCCCGTTATTTCTGGGCCTTTACTTCTGTATGTACTCTCTTTGTCTCTGTCTCTCTGTCTCTAACTCTCAGTTGTTTAACTATAAAAATCTAGTATGTTACAGCACTTTCATCACACTCTATTTGTCTTGCTAATGCTTTTGTGATAATGTGTGAGTGCAGATTTATTTTTATCTTTTTCCGGTGAGATTTGGCCGGACAATGGCATATATGTGTGCAGATAGTGGCAATCTAATGGCTGTTGCCCAACAAGTGATCAAGCAGAAGCAACAGCAAGAACAACAACAGCAACAACAACATAACCAGCAGCAACAGCAACTTTTAGGTCTCAATCCTTTCTCTTTAAACCCTTGGACCACCAACCCTATGTCCAGCTCTTCAAATTTGGGTTATGGTCTCGCCGGCCCGGCCTTCCCTGACCCTTTGGATACTGGAGAAGCTGCGTTCCCGTTTCCTCAAATCGATCACCATTCCAGTGGGTTTAGATTCTCTGATTTTGGCGGTGGGCCTGGTGCTGAGTTTGACTCCGATGAATGGATGGAGACTTTAATGGACGGTGGACACTCAACGGATAGTTCTAATCTTCCATCTGCCTGTGACGCGTGGCAAAACAATGCTGATTTTGGTCTTTATCCAACCGATCCCTTTGCCAGCTGCCCGAGTCGACTCAGCGTTGCTTGTTCTTCGCCGTCCGATCTCAACCAAGTTATCTTCACGGAACCTCAAAAGAACGTTATCCCTGCTGTATGGGCACCAACACCGCCAACCATTACACTAACTCCACCACCTTCATCTCCCCCACATTCCGTGTCGGCGGCCAAAGAAACCAAGCCACCAAGTCCTCCTGTACAGTCAAGTGTACTCAAAAACCAAGCAGAAGGTGCGTCGGCCTCCACTAGCTCACCGGAAAATGACATAGCACAACCAATTATAAGGGCTTTATTGGACTGCGCTCGACTGTCGGAGTCTGAACCGGACCGAGCTATTAAACTGCTGATTAAGCTCAGAGAGTCAGTATCTGAACGCGGAGATCCAATAGAAAGAATGGCGTTTTACTTCACTGAAGCTCTCTACAACAAAGTGTCTCTCCAAGCACAGAAAACAGTATCCACCCTGGAGACAAACTGTGGGGATTTTATTCTCTCTTACAAGGCCTTAAACGATGCCTGTCCCTATTCAAAGTTTGCACATTTAACGGCTAATCAAGCAATACTTGAAGCTACTGCTAAAGCAAACAAGATTCACATAGTTGATTTTGGAATTGTTCACGGAGTTCAATGGGCATCTCTGTTGCAAGCTCTCGCGTCTCGCCCAAAAGCAAACGCTCTCAAAATTCGGATCTCGGGTATACCTGCTCCGGCTCTTGGTAAGTCACCTGCTGCCTCTCTCATTGCTACGGGTAATCGTCTCCGTGAGTTTGCTAAAGTTCTGAAATTAAAATTCGAGTTCGAGCCGATTCTAACACCAATTGAACAACTCAATGCTTCATGCTTCAAAATTGAGCCGGATGAGGTGTTGGCTGTGAACTTCATGCTTCAGTTGTACAATCTATTAGATGATAACCCAGTTGCTGTAGAGACAGCTCTGAGAATGGCCAAATCGTTAAATCCCAAAGTGGTGACTCTGAGTGAGTATGAATCAAGTTTGAACCGAGTAGGGTTTGTAACTCGTGTGAAGAACGCTTTGAAGTATTACTCAGCTGTGTTTGAGTCTCTAGAGCCAAACATGACCCGAGATTCGGTAGAGAGACTACAACTAGAGAGACTAATACTTGGTCGGAAAATTGCCGGTTTGATTGGAGCTGAAGGAGTGGGAAGCAGAAGAGAACGAGTGGAGAATAAGGAACAATGGAGGGTTCTGATGGAGAGTGCCGGTTTCGAGCCGGTTCCCTTCAGCCATTATGCAATTAGTCAGGCCGAGATACTGTTATGGCATTATAATTACAGTAATTTGTACTCATTAATTCAGTCTCAACCTAAGTTTCTATCTCTGGCATGGAACAAGGTGCCTCTTCTCACTGTTTCATCGTGGCGTTGATTGATGGTCGGTGGGTTTTTCTGACTCAATGTCGTTGTAGTTTTCACCAGATATGGTGTTATATTGATCTGAAATGGGTTCCCAGTTTCATTATTTAGTGATGTAACAGGTTGTTAATATTAATGGCAACCAAGGAATTTCAAAATCACTGCATTAGAATTATTAACCTTGTTGTCTACTTTATGGACTTGTTTTAGTTTTATTGAGTTTCTAGCTGTATTTTGTTGGGCTTAGAGGCGCCTAAAAGTATGACAAATTGTAAAAAGGTGAATTCAAAATCTACGTGGTTTGTGCTTTAAGCTGTTAAATTTCTGTTCATGTTTGCTTTACTGTTTCTCTAATTTGGATGTTGATATGACCCTAGTTTAATTTTTAATGCTCATATATAGGGTGCTTTTGAATGTGAATTGATATAAGAACTGTTCTTGATGACAGCAGATTTTTTTGAACTTTGTGTCTCTTCAGCAGCTCAAAGTTATGTTCTGGCAGGCCAGTGCTTCTTTGTTTCTTTTGCTACACCAGATCATAAAAAAAAAAACTGAAACTTGTATGTCAATGTCTCTGTGACTTGTGATTGATGTTTTTCTTTTTTTTTTTTTTAATGCCTACAAGCTGTAAACAGTTCAGGGATTACTGTAATTGGCAGTTGATGAAGACTAACCACAAGACTTTCTTTTCCATGCAATTGATTTGATTTGTTATCAAGACCTACAAAAAGCTGTGTGCATTAGCTAAAATGTGCCAGACAATCTGTTGCCTTAACTTGCAATTTTTATGAACAGAAAACGACCTGAATTTGATTAACTGGCCCTTTCTGTTGCTGGCTTTCTTGCCCACCTATGTTATTTCTCAAACCATAGGCATTCATCTTTCTTTGATTATAGCTTTAAATAATAAATGCATAAATGCTTGTCCCTTTCATTATACAATCGAAGATAAGACTTAGAAGGAGAACCTAAAACATGGTACCTTATCTTTTAGCATAATATTGAGAAGAAACAAGGATGGAGAAAGCTCCCTCTTTCCAGCTGCTCTACGAGAAATCCATGGGCCAGACCAGAGCACCATCGACAAGGTGGGCAATGGGCTGCGTTGTTGTTTCTAATCTTAATTTTGACCATTCTGGATTTTTTTTTTTTTTAGTGACAATTTCTATAAGCTAGACAAAACTAAGGGTCCCGATGCAATTCGAATGCAATTTTGTGCAGTTTGGCACGCGTCCTCTCCACCTTAGTCCCTCACAGCCCATTTGATCAATCAAGTTTCTTCTTATGTTTTGTAGCTTTGTCTTAAGAATATTATTGATCAACACTTAGAAATACCCTTCTGGACATTGCCATTTACTGTCCTTTTAGTGGGTAAACATCAGATGTCAAACTTGTTTGGATCAGGTCTGTGAAAGTGAGATATGTAAATTAGTCTCTGCCATAGATGTGGTATTTTTGTTTTTTTTCAAAGTTCACACAGAGCCTCTTTGGTAATCTAGAAGACTAGAACTTTACAGAAGAAATTACCAACATTATTGAAGTGCTATGTGTATAGTACTGCAGTTGGTCCGACGACCACCTATGGTTAGGTGCTGGACCGATGGGCTGAATTCAAATTTGGTCCCAGTCTTGTAACTTCTTTTTGTCTAGAAGCTGATACAGTAAATTTCCATCTTACATTCTAACCTAACAAATATATTTAATTTTGTTGCTCTTTATGGAATTGGTATGCAATTGCGGATTGCCAAACCTGGAAGCGTTCACGTCGTTACCGGCGGTGTAGGATCAGAGAAATGAATGTGGTTGATGACGTTTTTACAGATGCAAACATGCAACGGTCTCATAGTCCCATAACTTGAAACACTCCTCCAGGCTTCGCCAAACTTACTTTATCCCACAGCTTCTACAAATTCACACTTTTCACCTTAATATTTCCAAATACTGACACTTTCATCTGAATAGAAAAGGATAATTTCAAACATTTATTTAATTAAAATGTGGTTATTTCTTTATGGATTTTAGGTCAATAGAGTGGGTTTTTGGGTAAAACTGTCACTATTTGAAAAGATTAAGGTAAAAAGTGGAAGTTTCTAGAACTTGTAGGATAAGGTAATTTGGGAAAATAGTTTGATTGTGGGGTCGGGCAGAGACTCTGACATTTGCAGAAGCGTCAGCAATTCTCTCGGCATCATTTAATTTGATTTCTAAATAGTCCCTCTTTTCAGTTTTCCATTTTTACCCAATGCCAATCATGTTATCTGTATATTAAATTAATATTTTGTCAATCATGTTATTCATTGAGATTGATGACAAGTCTCGTCAAATCTTTTAAAAGGTTTTTCTATTTGTTTTTTAATAATACTGTAAATACAACATTTTCATTACTGCAGTTGAGTAAAAATTTAATTTTAATTTAAAATTAATAATTATATTTTATCACTTAATATTATATGTGTAGGATTATTTTTTTTTTCCGAAATATTTGAACTCTTCACACTGCTGTTGAGATTTCATTTTCTAAGTATATAACATCTTTAAAATTTTAAATTAGATTTTTACTTCATTCATTTTCAATAATAATAATAATAATAATAAATCATGTATTTAGCTAATAAAAAGCATCATTAAATAAAAACTAATAATATTATTATTTTTCTTCAACTAATAAGAAGTACCATTAAATAACACAAATATTTTATCCAATGAAATAGAAGGAGATTAGGAATGAGAATCAGACAAATTTACTGATGTAATAAATCTATTAGGAAATTTGGGCCAAATTACCTTTTAATCTAATTCAGACTATAAAGTATAAACCTTTAAAAAAAATTAATACTATGAATAACATAAGTTGTTTGATATATTATATATGTTGCTATAATTATCGAATTGATAATATAAAATTTTACATATAGTATTTTATAAAAATTATATAATGTGGGTTTATATGGCTAATATGGGTTTGCACCTTTAAGACTGGCGTGTTGCAGAATTGGGCCTAAAATAGCTGGGGACTGGTCAAAATCAACAGATCTTATGTAGGGGAACGCTTCTTGGATTGAGCCTAAGTTGATAATGGGTCAGTTGATACTAAACTGGCCCCCTCGCTCAGGCCCTGTGATTTTCTAAGCTTGGAGAATTGAGCTTTTTATCTTCACAAAAAGTGAAAAAGAATAGCTCCAAATCTCTGTTATTTCGTGTCCAGGTGCCAATCTAAGAAGACGCCATTCGTTTCACAACCAGGGGCTATACAAGGCTTAAAAGTCCACGCAGACATCGAACATTCTTTCAGCTTCCTTCAGCTCAACACGTCACAGTTATAATGCTACGTGTTATGGCGACGTGAATGGGGGATTTCTGTTAAAGACAGACTAGGATCAGTATGTTGAACTGACTAAATATAACTTATCTTTCATCTTTGTAATGATCAGTCTCAATTTGCGTATATAAATAGCATATCTTGATATCATCAGACGAAAATGAATCACGCAATCAGATCAGTTAGAGCCAATCCACCAACTGTTCTCTCGTCTCCTCTTCCATATAGCGTTGGCCAAAAAGCTTCAGTCGTCAAATTTAGGCAGGTAATTACTCAGTCTAGGCGATCAGAGAATCCATCAAGCATGGATACTTCTCAGAACCAGATGAACCCCAAAGAGAAAATGGACCCGAATAACCCGCAAGAGAAAACAGGGTTAGTTATGGTTAATTATTTCTTGTCTGGTTTGTTTTACCACGTCTCTACATATGATTTTTTTTTATTATATTTATTATTAATTTTATCAAATTTATTTCTGGGGTGTGTTGGTGTGTGTGATTAAGGGACGTGATGTCTCATTCATATGGAGAGGGATATGCCACGAGGTCTGATGAAGAAGGATTTGGTGGCATCTATGGAGGCAATCAGTCCATTCCTAAAGTCGAAATAGATAAGGAAATCCATGAAAATCACCCAGGTAAGTGGTGCCTTCTCTTCTGTTGTAAGATCATCAATTTATTAATCGTAGAAATCCATTTTTGAAGCTATGAGTCATATTAATTTCCTTAAACTTCTTGAAGCTTATGACAAGACCCAAGGAAGCGAAGTGAAGGAGAAGGAGAAAGCCCGCCATCAGACCGATGCATCAAGCTAGATGGAAAAATTCGTTAGTATTAACGTTAATGTATTCATGTTTCCTGGCTACGTTCCTCGACGGAATGCACTTGGTTGAATAATGAAACATGCTTTATATTTTTATTTCAGTCGCCCGAATTTAAAATTAGTTGAATTCAGTCATTCACACATCTGTCTGTGCTGAACTGTACCATAAAATCATGAACAGTATATCAGACAACTTCTAGAACTTGCCAGGGTTTAGTCCTAAAAAACATAGCAGGGCATTGTAGCTGTAGAACAATCTTTAGTCTCGCCTTGTGTAACGGCTAGATCCTCAGAAGAAAGAAATTAATGGATCATGGAAGGACATGAACACATTCAAAAGTCAAAAGATTTTACAATATTTTATATATGATTTGAAGAACAACTGGCCGTTTACAAGATTTTAATGCCTGTTTCTTGTAGAGTTTCGTGTCGTTGATTACCATGTATAACTTCTTATTTTGTTCACTCCAGTCTTTGATATACTTATTGAATTTGTATGGGAATGGATTTTGCGTTATTTTCTGACTTTGAATGATCTCCCAAATTGTGATAGAATTACGTGACACCATACCTTAACGCTACTCCCTATTTCTTTATAATCAAATGTGCTAGTAATTTCAAATCCATTAAGTTTCCAAAAAGTCTCTTCAATTTAGTGTGGTGGATTCATGGAATGTTATATTACTGAAAAATATATTATTTTGAAGATTATTATGAATGTTTAAGGAAATATATTTGGTTATGGTAGAATAAATTGGTAGGTATATTATATTTATATATTTGATTAGGAGGAATAAATTTATGGGTATGTTATATAGATTACCAAATATTTTATATTAATTTTTTTAACCCTTTATATTTGGTAATTTAGTTAAATATCCCTACAATAAAAGTTTAAAATTAACTAAAACACTCTAGTCATCCAAAAGGACAGTCGATCATCATTGTCAAATGACAACCAGCAGTCGTCAGAACGGCGTACGACCAATTAGAAATTTTCAGTTGTGTGTTGAATGTTGATATGGTCGTTTTCTGTTAACTATTTGATCTTTAACTATTTGATCTTTGGCCGTTGTTAATGGCCAAAATCTGGTTTTGACAATTTTTGTTAAGGAGTGTTCAGTTCCAACAATGTTTTATTACTAAAAAAAAAAAAAAAAAATTATTATGGATGAGATAGGTAACCTTGAAGATTAATAAGTCTAAATTATTATTGTTTTTGGTTCGTGTGGACTGTATAAATAATTAATGTATTTGGTTGATCGTAATTACAAAAAATACTTAGATATTGTTTTATTGAAATGCCTTACAAAATTCTTATTCTTATTATTATTATTATTATTATTATTATTATATAGGGTATTTTTGTCTAAATATTTAATTAAAAAGGTTAGAAGTCATTCAATAGGTTGGGTCAACTGTTATTTGACATTAAAAGGAGGGCATTTGTGTCCGAATTTTTATTAAGTGAGGGTAAAATTGGTTAAAATATCACCATGATAATGACCGGATTAAAAAATAGATTACTGGCCTTAACCATGTGAAGCTATAAAAGGACTGATTTGATAGTATCATCTTAATAATAAATAATGAGAAAAGTAATATATAATTTGAAAATAGATTTGTTTAGATGATGCTAATATTGATTGAGATATAAAGATAAAAATTCAGTTTAATTGAATTTAGAATTTTGCTTGTCACACGGTTTTGAAGGAGTAAAATTATGTAATTGAGTGGCTGCCATCAACGGCCAAATCATTAGTCATACATCTGGTTATTTTCAGTCAGATCTATGATAGATTTAGTTAAAAAATACCAGATTAACACATAATGATTGTTTAATCTAGTCAGTTGTACACTATTCCGATGAGTTTTGGCTATCATCTGGTGGTGGTGGTGGTGGTGGTGGTCGGTTGTCAGCAATAGTTGAGTGGGTGGAGATATTTTTTTTAATTTATAAATATTTATTATGAGAGAGTATTTAATTAAATTATCAAATACGAGGATTTAAAACTAATATAAATATTTTCAGAAAATATTTTTAAAATATATACTAAACACATTCTCAAAATTCTATTCTATTTAATTAAATGTTATTTAGAATAAAATACTATTTTAAAAACTTAAACAAACAAACAAACGGAGCATGAGGATTCATGTAATTATCTCTTGAACTTTATAGGAATGAATTTTCCAGCTACTTACCAAACGTTCAAACGCTTGTAAACTCCCATGATGTTTCTTTTAATTTAAGATTTCAACAAAAAGTAACAAGGACCAGAAAATGGTTTTTTTAATGATATTATGTACAACACAATCTTTTCCACATGTATATGCTTCCAGATTGGAGGAACAAATCATATCTTTACAGCAGTGCTGGTTCGGCCAGAGAGTCGTGTTTCACAAGGCCAGCACAATAGCTGACGTGTATCCAGCTATAATTAACGTTCATTTCAAGGCTTATACGGACATGGTTATCCAATCAGGCACGTTAGGTGCATATCGATATTAGCCGTCCATCTAATACCTACTTTTTAATCGTGTCCATCCGTTCCATTCAATATCCTATATATTAATCTGTTCTGCTCTGCCTTAATTTCCATTCAGCTTATTCTGCATAGCGCTTTCCTCTCCTACGTCTCTCCTTCTCTTCTCTTTGATCTAGATCTCGTTCTATTTGCTTTTCATCCATGTCCTCTTCCTCAGGATCTGTTAGATCGCTACACGATCTATCTATTGATACCAGATATAGCCTCGGTATTTCCTGAAGGTTTGTGTCTCTAGAAGCTTATTATCGTTCTTCCGTGATTTATTTTGTGATCTTTATAAGCGTATTATTATAGTTCTATTGATTTATTTTGTGTTGAAGTTATTCTTTCCATAGGTTTATAATCAGCCTCGGTTTTATGGATGATTATGCACCTCTTGATCTCCTGAGCCTTCGATTCAGGTAACTTAATTTTTTTACTTTTTTTATATTAGGTTTGCAGTTTAATTTTTGTTTAATTTTTGTGGATTATGTGTTTTTACGACTGGTTGATTGTAGTTGTGCAGTCTGATGTTTGATTAATTTGTTGTGGATTATATGTTTTTATGATTGGTTGATTGCGGCAGATCTTTGATCTTAAATTGGGAGATATGGTTGAGAGGATGAGAGGCTGTTGAAGAGCAATATGAGAAAGAAGATGATATAAGTTCCGATGTAATATATTTATAATATGGATGTGTAAGATGTCGGGGCGAAAAGGCTTCTAAATTGAAGAAGCCGATTGAGTCCTGATTAATCTTTGTCATCCGACCTTTGCCATGACAGGTGCGCTTGCATGGCAGGTCACCAATATTCTTAATAAAAATAATAAGTTTTTTGGTTTTTGAGGAGAGATCGCACGGGGATTGCCCGGGTTCTCTCCTCACTGTGCTCTGTGTCCTCCTTTCTTATCTTTTCCTTTACTATTCATATCAATATCTCTTGCTCGGGATGCCACATCATCAGCAATTGATTCTCTCTCACTCACAAGATGCAAGACTCAAGGTAAAATTTACAATTTACATTCGTTGCTCCGTTTGAGAGTCTGCTATCACCGTTATGCCATTCCTCTCATCTGCTGGGTATTCCTGATACGCCTTAAAATTATGTGAATAATATATCTGACAGCATATATTAATTTTGTCATTGACAGTTACGCTTAGAATTGCAAGGAGTTCGTCACAACACATCTCATACTTAATGATTTTCAAAGGTACAAGGGAATTTAGTTTTACCTGTTAAAAGTTACTTGCAGGCTATTTTAATTAAAAAAAAAAAAAAGAAAAAGAAAAATGAAAAACCACGCAGAGTTATTCTCCATTAGTGTTGTTCAAAGCGTTGTTTTGTAATCCATTACAGTTGCAGGAATTTCAACAATTCATATATTCATATGCAACAAAATATCAATAATTAATTTGTTTTATTACGCAAGTAATAATATAAATACATTCAACTTTTAAGCTTCCTAGTTTGCTATTTTCCTCTTGTTGCTAGTTTGGTGTTGTATTTGTATTGGATGGTTATCGTTGCATGTAGCTTTATGTGGGGAGCTCGCAATTGTTCTGGCCCTTTTGGGCTCTGTGTTGTGATGTTGGCTAGGAGATTCATGGAGAGCGGTTAGATGATATTTGATTACACATATTTTTGGAACGGGGAATCATTGAAGTCCCTACCGGAGAGCATTTCAACAGTATAAAAGACATCATTGGCCTGGGGACATATGAAATTTCCAGATGGTTACACACTGCAGTACCAAGGTGTAGAATAAATTTTGAAGATGATATGGGCAGAGCTTTCTATATTGTTCTGTTGCAGCCATTCTTACCGTTTAAGCTTGTAAGGCTTGAGTAATGAAGTCATTGAGGTGATGCCAGTCTAATCTCATTCTAAAACTAAGACTTTAAGGTGATGCAATCTAATTTCTTTCTAATAAGTATTTGTTTAACTTATGTCAAAATTCAACAGCATGAATTGGAGTTATTGATGTTTTTAATTTCTTATTTTTAGATGTAATTTTTAAGTGTTTTTTTAATTTATATTTTACGTCGTTTCTTCAGTTCTTGTAGTTGTTTGCACTTAGTTATTTTTGGTGGTTTATGAATGATAAGTTCTTGTGCTTGAAAGGAATTGGCATATTCCTTTCTTTTATTATTGAAAAGATCAAGGAATAAGCATTGCTTTGAAAATAATGGAATCGGATTCCCCAACTTATGGTCGGAACTGTATTTCATTCTTAATATAAATGGTTAATCTTATGTTTTGGTCTTTAGATTGTCTGTAATTGGATTTTTAATGTTTTGAATCATTATCGGAATTGTATATTTGTCTCATTGTAAGTTAAAATGATTTCAAAATTTAGTTTGATATAATATCATATTATGTCTTTACATAAACGACCACAACTGGAAACCGGTTATTTAAATTCAGAAAAGCAGTAGCTGGATTTTTGTTGCTTTTTATTTGGAGTTGGTAATTTTTTAAATTTGTTTTCAAGATAAATAATACTGTATTTTTTTTTTCTGGTTTAGATAATAATATTAGTAGATGAATAAATTTATATTTGAAGGTACAATTTCACTTTTATATAATTTTTTTTTTATGAAAAACATTATATCTATTGTTTTTATTAAAAATATTTTATTTTATTTTATTTATTAAAAAAAATTGTAGTTTAGTATAGCCAGAGGGAATTTGATTCAAACAATAATTTTTGTATTTCATTTCCGTAATTCTTTATTTAGACTTTTAACATTCTAAACTAGCAAATTTTGATCTTTAACTTCCTCTCTTTTTAGTTTTATTCTCATGCTTATCGACTTTGTCGGTTTTGAACGTTTGTAATTGGTTTTAATTTATTTGATAAAAAATTTTCCGAATGATGCTGTTGTTGAACATGGGTTAAAAACTGTTTTCATATTTTCTTTTTACCTTTTTTGAAAAATGGTTTTAAAGAACTAACTCTCTTATTTAATGTCTTATCACTACGTCATTCATACGAGCCATATACTTCTTATTGAATGGTAAACTTTTAGGTAGGACTACGGAAAATGGATTTTATTTGCGTACTCTAATTCAATTATTGAAAAGTTTTCATGATTAAGGGTGTTTTCTGCGGTTGAATTTAATAAATTAAATAATTTGAGACGTGGTCCATTCGTCGTAAAGATCTGTAAGCTCAAAAGGGTAAGAGCGCTCAATCCCTTTTCTTCGGGTTTGGGAGGATGGTGGTTCGAATCCACTCAGATCTATTGTTTGTTGCCAGAGCGGTGGGGTCTAAGGTTTTCTGCTTGTAACGAAGTTCGAAATTCGGACATCCGATCTCCTCTGTTTATGTAACAATAAAAGTCTGGAGCTTGGCTGAAGCTACAGTGGAGTAATGCTCAGTATTAATTTGACGGGGTTGTTAATATATAGGTGTAGAGTTAGAGATGTCATCATTATCGTACCCCCCATCGGCCGTGTTAGAGTTTATGCATGTAAGAAACTAGAGAGATTTTAATAGTAGTTCGGATGCTTAAAACGAATCTTATATCTACTGTTATTTTATTATTCTCTAGCTATTTTTATGATATTGCCTATAAGGCGTACAAAAATTGAGAAATGTTTTGCTTACAGAGAAAAAATAATAAAGCTCAAATGTTTGTCTAGCTCTTATATGCCTAGCCATCATTTTTTTGACGAAGAGAGGTGTCCATTTATACCTTTGAGGTCAATGTAATTAGTGTTTTTGTAAGTTGTCTTGACACATGAGGACCACTCCTTAATCTTTATCTTAAAATGAGATAGGATTAATATAAAATATCTCTTGGAGGCGGTTGGAGTTTTTGACAGTTAATATCACCTTATCTTTAAGTGCTTGTTAAACTCTGATTGGTGGTGCTGACATTATTGTGTATATTTGGCACAACAGAATCCCCTCAATTTTTGGAGTGCGCAATTGCACTTCAAAAACTCATGTCTTAGATCCAAATGGCTATCGCACTATAGGTTGTAGTCTCGAATTAAAAAGCTCAAACTATGCCTATTGCCTAGCATAATCGAGAGTTGAGAGCTAAAACTGTGATCTAAGAGCTCTGATGCGATCTGAAGCTCAGCATGATCTGATAATTGACATAAAATGTCCAGACAGTCCAGTAGATGAATTCCTAGAGAGAGCTGACGTTAGAAGCCCAAACGCACGGCTTAAAGGCCTTAAACGGACAAGCATATTTAAAATAGTCATAACTTTTGATCCGGGAGGAGTTTTGGAGCCCTAAGATATCCACGGAAAAGCTTGTTCCAAGCTTTACATCGTGGCAATTAGGAAACCCAGTTGAGGCCATTTTTGGGGCAAAAATCTACCGTTTTGGCATGTTTTAGGGCTATTTTGAGTTTTCTACGCGTTTTTTCTGACGCTGGCAGCTGGTCGCGATCTGAGAACCGAGAACTGATCGCGATTTGAGAGCCGAGAACATGACCTTTGTTTGCAATCTCAGTGTTAAGAGCTGATCGCGATTTGATAGGGGCTCAATTTGAGAGCTTGAGGCGTGCGATCTGAACGATCCACAGTGTGCGATCTCAAGCAAATGAGCAAGCTTATGAGCTCGATCAGACAGCATAAGATGCTCGATATGAAGCGCAAGGTGCTCGATATTAATTTGAGAACTCAAGAGCTCTTTGCGATTTGTCGGAGAGCACAAGTAGTTTGATCAGAAAGCATATAGCACAAAGAGTTTGATTAGAAAGCGCGAAGCTTGATCTGAGAACTCAAGATCAGCAATCGAAACGCTCAAAAGCTCGATTTGGGTGCTCGGAAGCATGATATGGCTGCTCGAAAGCGTGATCTAAATGATCTGAATGCGAGATCTTAACAATCTTGAACGCGCGATCTAAGTGCTTGGAAGCATGATCTGGCCGCTCGGAAGGGCGATCTAAATGATCTGAATGCGTGATCTCAACGATTTGGATGCTCGGAAGCACAATCTAAGAGCTTTGATGCGTGCGATCTGACCACACGATCTGAGAGCTCTGATGTGATCTGATCTATGATCTGGCCACGAGATTTGAGAGCTCTGATGCGTGTGATCTCTGATTTAACCACGCGATCTGAGAGTTCTGATGTGTTTGATCTGCAATCTGGCCACGCGATCTGAGAGCTCTGATGCGTTTGATATGCAATCTGACCACGAGATCTGAGAGCTCTTATGCGTGCGATCTGCGATCTGGCCATGCAATCTGAGAGCTTTGATATGTGCGATCTGCAATCTGATGGCTCTTATGCGTGCGATTTGTAATTTGGTCATGCGATTTGAGAGCTTTGATGCGTGCGATCTACAACCTGGCTACGCGATCTAAGAGCTCTGATGCATGCAATCTGTGATCTGGCAACACGATCTGAGAGCTCTAATGCGTGCGATCTGACCACGCGATTTGAGAGCTCTGATGCATGTGATCCGGCCACGTGATCTAAGAGCTCTGATGCGTGTGATTTGCGATCTGGCCACGCGATCTGAGAGCTCTAATACGTGCGATCTGCGATTTGAGAGCTCTAATGCATGTGATCTGCGATCTAGCGACACGATCTGAGAGCTCTGATGGGGAGCATGCTTCAGATTTTCACATCCGATAACGTGAAGATTTTGAGGCTTGTTGGAAAAACATGGAGAGTTGATGTGAATCATGCTCTATTTCTAACGCCAAACTGTTGATGCTTGATTTTGACACCAACGACTAACACGTGCAAAGTGTTAAGCTACTCTTAGAAATTATACGTGAATTATTCACGAGAAGTGTTTATGGTGCTAATATTATATATGTTTGATGAAACATAAATAATAGATTGACAAGAGAGATTTTTATAGTGGTTCGGATGCTTAAAGCGAATCCTACACCACTATTATTTTATTATTCTCTAGCTATTTTTCTAATATTGCCTATAAAGCGTACAAAAATGGAGAAATGCTTTGTTTACAGAGAAAAAAATAATAAAGCTCAAATGTTTGTCTGACTCTCATATGCCCAGCTAGCCCCTTTTTCACGAAAAGAGGTGTCCATTTATACCTATGAAGTCAATATAATAAGTGTTTTTGCAAGTTGTCTTGACGTATGGGGACCACTCCTTAATTTTTATCTTAAAATGAGATATGATTAATATAAAATATCTCTTTGAGGTGGTTTGGGTTTTTGACAGCTAATATTAGAGGTAGACATTTGGGATTGGGCCTAAAAGCCCAGTTCCAAAACTCGGTCCTAGGATCGGTCTTAAGAGGCCTGGTCCTGTGGAGGGCCCGGGCCTGGGACTGGTCC